AAATATAAGGCTTGCGTTTCATTTATTTCACATTAAAATTCGCCAGATTGGTTACGTTGCCTTTGAGACCCTATGGTAGCCCAAGAATGAAAATTACCCTATGATGGCATACCATTTGCAGTAGTAGACAACCCAAGGTATTGCAAACAGGGTATGTCCAGTCTTTTTTAGTAGCCACTTAGTCACAAACACTGGCCAAAATTAGCGTTTTTTGCATTTTTCACACACAAACAAATACTAACGCTAACTTTGGCCAGTGTTTGTGACCAAATGGCTACTAAAAAAGACTGGACATACCCCATTTGCAATACCTTGGGTTGTCTACTATTGCAAATGGTATGCCATTATGGGTGAAAATTCCATTCCTGGGCTACTATAAAGTCCCAAAGGCAACGTAAAAAAATCTTATTTTCTCCCATTTTTCATATTAAATTATGTTTCATAGCTAAATATTTGATATTAAATGAAAGCCCTGTTTCCCCTGAGTAAAATGATATATAATAAGGATTTAATATGAAAGAGGTGAATTACGGTTGGACAGACATGTAGCGCAAATGCCAGGTTTTGTTTACATTTTGTTTCGTTCACAACGTGTACATTTGGCTCCGTCCTTAAGGGGTTAAACAGCAACTAGATGCATACTAACAAAACAGAATATTCAATAATATAATCTTTTACCTGTAGCTTCAATAGCTTCTTGATCCAAGGATTAATCTGACTGCCATTCTGGGGTCAAGAGAGAATTTTTTTTCCTAGTTTTCTGCAAAATTGGAAGTGCTTCAAACTGGGGTTTTTTTTTGCCTTCTTTTGTATCAACAGCAAAAAAATATATTAGGAAGGCAGAACTTGATGTACACATGTGTCTTTTAAACCTATGTAACTATGTAACTATGTAAGTACCAGACCTATGTATGCCTAAACAAATACAAAGTAGCTAATCTTAATCAGTAATTAAATGTTAAAAAGCACAATGTTACTAAAAAAGTAGACAAATATGTAACAAGTAATCAATCACATTGTAATTAAAAATGTTTTCACCTTACATTTGAGATTCCCTTTGAATTCACCTTGAATTCTCACTAGTGAATAACCCTTGTAAGTATAAATAGTGCTCAAACATTTACTTAAATTGTAGGAGTGTTCCTTTAAACAGATAAGAATTAATGCTGTCTGCAGCATATATTTCTCCTGAGTTAAAATGTAAGTCATTGGGGGTAATCTGTAAAAAATCTTAAAGTGTTACTCCAACCACCGTGACCTCTTCAGTGATTTTAAATTGTCATTGTGGTAGGAGTATATATGTGCATTGCACATACTGAGATATTTGCACTTGTGTGCGAGGGCTTGGTGCTTCATCAGTATAAGTGACTTGGCAGCCCAGAACAAAGCCACTGTCAATTCTGTGCATATTTTCCGTCTGTTGTCAGCATGCACTGACACATTTTTTTTTAGAAATCTTTCCCTTATTGGTACAGGGCATGCAAGGGGAAGCTAGCTTCCCCTTACACCCTCTTTCCCTGTGGGCACTTCCTCCTACTTCCCTACGCTGCATATTTCTTAACCTAAAAGAAAAACCTCCACTCATCGGCATGGAGCATTTGCTCTGAGCCGTCAACAGGTCCAATCACAGGCTTTTCTATAAAAAGCCTGTAATAAGGCAGCGCCTGGCCCCTTTGACATCAGAGGGTGCATGGAAGATCAGAGCTGGAAGATTTGTCCAGCACTGAATTCAAGATCAGTAAAACATTTTTTTTACAGGTTTTACTCCAAACAGAGGTCAAAGTAACCATTTGAACACTATATGGTGTGACTAAATCCCGCTATTTTGAATATGGTAGTTGTTTTTAAACTAGCCTTGAAGGATTGTTTGCAAGTATGCGCTAAGCCACATTGTTGTATTCTGATATAAATGCTGACTTACAACTTTATTAAGAATCCCAGATTCTAAGTCAGATTAATGGTTCAAAGCAGATGTTTCCAGAGTGTATGGTATAGCCAGAGACATATAAAGACGTTTCAATAAAAAATAATTTAAAGAAAATATTGTCTGAATACTTATTGTTCTGATTTCTTCATATTTTGTGTGAAATTTTTTTATTAGTTGATAAAACCTTAGAAGTTTGTTTGTGTCTGTCAATTTTGAATGTCTAATAGGTTTGTCAGTAGGTATTTCGCACAAAGTGATAAAAGTGCAACGAGTGAATGAAAGGTGCTAATTATTTTTTTCTGTGGGTATGTTGTGCTTTTGAAATTGCCTTAGAAATTGTGTTAGACATAAGTCCCATGATGGAAGAGATGGCTTTAGCCACAAATTTATTCATAGATTTGTCAATAAAGGATTGTACATCCTCTGAATGTATAGAAAAAGGATATAAAATTTCAACCTCATACATACATTGGTTACAAATTCAATATTTTAAACCTCAAGTACATTCTTAGATCCAGACTGATTAGATGTTGGATGTTGAGAACAGATGTTAGGGCACAAAAAGGATATCCAAAATGCACACTTTATAGGAGTTGAATGGCAATGTTTAAGCTCACACAAGAGCCTTTCTCAAGTCACAAATAATCCCAGTTTGGATCTTCTATGGAAAATGTGTCTGCTGTTCCTCTTTTGTGTTTTCATTAGATGCTGGGGCACCTTTTTATGAGAGGCGTGCTTAATGTTAAATGACAAAAATAATTATTAGAATACATTTTAATATGAAAGTGGTAAAGCTGTAAGGGGAAAGAACAAAGAAAAGTGAAATAAATACCAGATAAAGGCATTTTCTTTACACACATCACAAACCCATTCTAAGGAGGTGGAGCCATAGAATGGCTCAAGTGTAAAGCGGCTCTCGTTGGAAAGCACACCAGAAGGTGGAGCAGCTGCAGAGGAGACAGCTGAAGGTGGCGCTTGCTGTAAATTGATACACTGCATAGAGATGCACCTCACGTGCCCATGCTAAGCGGGCACTGTGACAGAGATGCGTGTATAATGCATGAGGACTATATTCATTATTAGAATGCATTTTAATATTAAAACTGTAAAGCTGCAGAGAAAAAAAAAACAGAAAAGTGAAAGAAATATCAGAGAAAGGAATTTTCATTACACACTTTTCCTTAGACTAATAGGCAGAGTATTGGTAATTCTGTCAGAAAGCAATGCAAAAACCCTAACAGAAATCTGCTCTGTTTTGCAACCTCATATATGATAAATCTGACTGCCATTCTGGGATCAAGAAGGAATTTTTTTTCCTAGCTTGTTGCAAAATTGTGCTTCAAACTGGTTTTTTTTTTGCCTTTTTTGGATCAACAACAAAAAACATATGTGAGGTAGGCTGAACTTGATGGATGCAAGTCTCTTTTCAGCTATGTAACTATGTAACTATATCCAGTGACATCCAGTGCTGAGTCAAGTGCTGAGAGATGCAGGAAAATGAAGAAACTAATTTGTCCAAAAGTAATATGGCTCCCAAAATGGCTGCCACTTCTCACAAGGACAGCAAGTTGGCAGATAGGAAATAACTAAATTAAACAACACAGGCAAATGAGACCTATAGACTGTGGTGTATCCTGGTTTTGTGCTGCCCTAGGCCTGGGATATAGTGGGGCTGCTGGGCGGTTGGTTGGGCGGCACTTGCAAGCGAGCACTTTCCCCTGAGCTCTCTGCTCAGCTCCCTCTCGCGCCGCAGAGTGATGCTGGGAGCCGGAATATGGCGGCCCGGCCGCCCTGCGGACCCCTGCGACAAGGTACCAGCCGCCATGTTTTGCGGCCCAGGCCAGTGTGGCAAACCGCCAGGGCCACACATGAAGGGGCCCATCTGGTGGCCCATGCTGTTAGGGCCACCCGATGGATATGTATTTTCAGGGTGCCGGGCAGTGCTGCGGCGCTTTAACAGCGCAACGGGCCCCCTGTGATGACATCACATGCTGAGAGGAAGTGACTGCCCCGGTCCCTCCTCCCAGCTATCAGACAAAGCCTGTGTGGGAGAAAACAGAGGAGGGAGTCAGAGTGGGAACTCTAACACCCATCAGACTGAGCCCCCACTGGACCCCAGGCACTCTCCTGCAAAAGGTAGGAAACAGGAGGGTGACTTAAACATTTTGTATATGTGTGTGTTTGTATGTGTGTGTCTGTCTGTGTGTATGTGTGTGTCTGTATATGTGTGTCTCTATATGTAAGTGTGTCTGTGTGCATGTGTGAGTCTCTGGATGTGTCTGGATGTGTGTGTGCCTCTGTATGTATGTGTCTGTGTTATACAGACACATACATACAGACACATACCCACACACACAGACACATACATACAGAGACGCACACACACACACACACACACACACACACACACATACATACAGACACATACATACAGACACACTCCCACACACATACAGACACATACATAACAGAGACACACATACATAAAGATGCACACATACACACACATACAGACACATACATACATACATACTGAATGTATGTGTGTGTCTGTATGTATGTGTCTGTATGTGTGTGTGTGTGTGTCTGTATGTATGTGTCTGTGTTTATGTGTCTGTGTGTGTGTGTGTGTGTGTGTATGTATGTGTCTGTGTGTATGTCTGTCGGAGATGTGTGTGTCTGTCTGTATGTATGTATGTCTGTATGTATGTGTGTGTATGTGTCTGTGTGTCTGTCGAGAGGGTGTATGTGTGTGTTTCTGTATGTATCTGTCTGTGTGTATGTGTCTCTGTATGTGTGTGTGTCTGTGTGTATGTCCGTATGTATGTCTGTGTCTGTATGTATGTGTCTGGGGGGGCCCACGGATCGAGGGGCGGGGAGGCCCATGGATCAATTTTGCACCGGGGCCCCATGGAATGCGTGTACGCCACTCACTCTACACAAATATGAGTGTTTTAGAGCAGTAAAATGTATTAACTGTAATATCATCTGTGAAATGTCAGTTTGTGTGTGAATAATGCAAATATAATATATAAACGCAAATTTTGGCCAGAGTTTGTGACTAAATGGCTACTAAAAGAGATTGGACATACCCTATTTTAATTACCGTGGGATGTCTACATTTAAAATGGGATGCCATGATGGAGTTAATTTTCATTCCTGGGCTGCCATACGGCCTCAAAGGCAACATAGGCCCAGCAAACCAATCTGGCAAATTTCAATGTGCAGGCGTGGAAAGGGGAAAGCCCCACATTTGACCCCTGTAAGTTTGCAAAACCCCATAAAACCTGTACATTGGGGACACTGTTGTACTCAAGAGATGTTGCTGAACACATATTGGGGTGTTCTTTGTCAGTAACACATAACAGGAACTGAGAATCCATGCCTAAAATACAATGTGAGAGAAAAATAACACAAATAAAATGACTACCCAAAAGATTGACAAAGACTGGTGGTAGAATTAGTGCATGGAATACCACCATTTGAAATACCCTAGGTTGTCTACTTTTCAAAAAAATATGGTTTGAAGGGGGTAAATTACATTGGCCGGCTTCAAAAATGTCCCAAATAGGACATGGGTGCATGATGAACAGCTGCAAAGAATTTTCCAAGTTGGAAAACTGGAATGTGCACCCTCCAAATTAAGTCTTTTAGCTCCCAAAGAACCCAACACATCCATACATGGGTGGTATCACTGTACTCAAGAGATGTTTCTGAACACATATTGGGGTGTTCTTTGGCAGTAACCCTTTAAGTTCTCAGTACATATATTCTTAAATTGCTATGTGTGTCAAAAAAATCACCAATTATAAAAAATGTTTTTGTAATTTGGCATAGATTGGTGGTAAAATGGTTGCGTGAAAAAAGTTAAAATACCCCAAGTTTAATACTTTGGGTTGTCTTCTTTTAAAAAAAATATATATATACATGTGAAGGGTTATTCAGGGATTCCTGACGGTGTCAGTGTTAATTTTGAAAAAAAAAATGGTTTGGAAATAGCAAAGTGTTTCTTGAACTTATTGCCCTATAACTTTCCAAAAAAAGCTAAGAACATGTTAACATTGGGTATTTATAAACTCTGGACAAAATTTAGAATGTATTTAACATGGGTGCTTTTTGGCGGTTGTAGATGCGTAACAGATTTTGGGGTCAAAGTTAAAAAAAATTGTGTTTTTAAAAAAATCTTCAGCATATTTTATTCATTTTTTATCATAAATTATATGACATGATGAAAATAATGGTATGTGTGGTACAGTAAATGAGTAAGTTACAGCTAAACACAAACTCCGCAGAAATGTAAAAACAGCCCTGGTCCTTAACGGTAAGAAATTAGAAAAATGGTCTGGCCAATAAATAATATATATATTTTTTTCTAACTACTTTTCGCATGCTCTTGCTTAAGTATGAAAACATAACAATGATGTAGGGGAACAAAACTGGTGTGGACTGGCTGACTATGAAATTAGTTAAGGTAAAGCTGACTTTGTGCACTATGCAAATGCTCTTGCTGCTTCAGTCTCTCAAACACTGTGGCATGTTCCCTTTCTTCCTCACTCACTACATACACTTTTTCTCTGTCCTGGTTGTAAAACAGGAGCTTCTGCCTGCTAGTAAGAAGGTTAGGAGAGGAGTTGACCAGCAAATGCTAGGGGACAATCCTTAGAAAGCGTAGAGCTAGTGCATCATTAGACACATTTATGTCAAGCTCAGAGTACTGTCTGCACAGTATGCCCTTGGTTGGTAATCTTGCATGATATAGCTATCAGAAAACAAGCATTCCCGTCAGGCTGACCATCTAATTATTTGTGCAGACACCCCCATTTAGGGCATGTTTGCCCCTTTGGGCAGTTCTGGTTACGTGATTCACATTCACCCTTTCACCCTGCCCTCCTAAATCCTGCTTCACTAGACACTGCTGTTAGGGGGTATAGATTTACTTGAAAGATGAAAGCAAGAGATTAGCATAGGGTATGTGCTATATCCTGTGAGTTTCCCTCCAGCACCACCTCCACCAGATATATGACGCTTGGGAGGTATGACTGTTTTAGTGTTTTCTGTTCTGTAATTAGGCCCCTCATAATGTAAGCACAAGGCTAAATGGGCTCTTAATCCAGCCCTGTATGTGTCACTGTGTGTATTTGTTTTGAATATTTTTATTTTATGCACAATAGAAATTCAGGCATCCAACTGATTTATAATAAAGCAAATGATTGCCCACGCAGGGGCTTAAACATTGGTTTAACACAGTATTCCTTTGGTTGCCTGCGCAGAGGCGGATTTGTTTTAAATGTTTCCTTTGTATTTGGCGTTGCAAGTACAAGCAGGTAGTCATTCTTGTTTCATGGAAAGCTTATGGTTGCCTGTGCAGAGGCGTTTCAGATAAAACATGCAGGTACATTAGGAACTAAGGTTTTTAACAGATACATGCTCTACAAATCAATATGACTTCGTTCAAGTTGTGGTTTTAGACTATTTTTCCATTCGTCTTGTTGTTTGTCATCTAGTGGTATGTTGCTAGGGATAGGCAGGTAAACGGAGTTGTTACCAGAGAGGCATGGTGGTGATGGCGTGAAGGCCTAAGGCTAGTCTTGGGGCGTAGTTTCCCATTTCATGTGGGAGTTTTGGTGGGTATTCAACTTGTGTGTCTGTGGATGGTGCGTTGTTTGTGTTTTGTCTCTGTGTGTAGGCGTGGGGCGTGAACTGTGCGCTTAGGTGGTGATTGCCGTCATTGTTTTAGGTTGCCCAGGCAGTCTTTATGGTGCCCAAGGCCTTTTGTGGCTGCGTTGATTATGTTCTGTGTTGGTGGTTTAGGGAGGCAGTTGTTGTCTAACCTATGTCTCTGGTGGCTGCGAGAACTGTGTATGTGTGTGTATGTGTGGCTATGCTCCTTGTGGGGCGTGCCTCTTGTATTGCTGCCCTCTGGTGCTTGGTATCGCCTTCGGTTGTGTTCGGGGTGCGTGTGAGGGTATGTGGCTTGAGTGGGCTGGTCGTAGAGTGCAGTGTTGCCCCCTTCTCTGTGGTAGTGTGTGGTCGTGGGGTCACGTCATCATGTGGCGGTGGAGCAAGGGTCTGAGTCTCGTGTTAGGTAGGTCCGTGGGGATCTGCCTTCTGCATTGGGATCTGTGGCCCTACGGGGTCCAGTCCTCAGTGTGGTTCTTGTTGCCTCCCGTCAGTGAGTGGGTGGTATGAGGTTAACACCCGCTAGGGGAGGAGGGGGGACATGTGGTTGAGGGTAAACCGCCTTCAGGTCGCCCCAGGTGCAGGCACCCGATTGTCTCGTAGTTGCGTGTCCTAGGTTTAGGGTGGGTTCAGGTATTGTAAGAATTCATCTGTAGCGATGTGTCATATCCAGTGGAACCATCTGGTCATGTGCTTTTCTTTTGCTGCTGCCGTGGTAGCTTTCAGGTCCTCGAATTTTCTTATGTCCTCCACCTCTTCCACCCAGTGTCTGAGTAGGGGGACACGTGGTTGTTGCCAGTATATAGGGATAGTTGCTTTCGCCACATTGAGCAGGCGTGGCACCACTGATTTTTTATAGGTCGGAGTGGGCATTGTTGTGTGGTATAGTAGGAAGAAAGCTGGTGATAGGGGTGGGGTGTCGTCTGTCACTGTGTGGATGACTTGGCGTATCGCTTCCCAGAACGGTTGGATGAGGGCACAGCCCCACCAGACTTGGAGGAATGTTCCGTCCTCCTCTTGGGGGGGCCAAGAGATATCTGTTCGTTACTAGGAATTTGTATATCAAGGAGATTGCTCTCAGTGGGGCTTTGTCCTGTCTGCACAGGGTTTAAAACTCTGTTCAATCTCTTGTCAGGTAGGGGCGTTGGGGGATGGAGTGTGCCTAGTGGGACATTTGTTCCCTCGCCAACTTGTGAGCGAATGTGTGTCTCTGGTCCGGGAAGATGGCCTCGATCGGTCTGATTGTGAATGGGGGTGAAATTATATCCACCATTCTAAGTGTCGTGTTGCCGTTTGCTGGGCGCGTGGTATGGCCATGCCGCTCGCCAGGAAGTCCGGGTTGCCTTTTAAGGGAAGTAGCGGGCTGGGGTTGGTCGTAAGGTAATGTTTGGGGCCATTCTGGTGCCAGATACGTAGGGTGGCTTTCACAAATGGGTTAGTGTGCAGTAGTTGTTTGGTGCCTTCCTTCATGATCCATGGGAGGGTCATGAGGTCACATTTGGTGGCGTCTGCCTCTAATTTTACCCAAGGTTTGTCCCTGGTCTTTACCGACCAGTTGATTATTCGAGTGAGGTGTGTCGCTAGGTGATATTCTCTGGGAGAGCCAGGCCCCCTTTGAGCTTGGGGAGAGTCAGCTGGGTGTGGGTGATTCAGGGGGGCTTCTCTTTCCAAATGAAGTTACGGATTATGGCTTGAGCGGTGGTGAAGAATGACTTTGGCGCCTCTATGGGCACTGTTTGGAAGATAAAGAGGAATCTGGGTAGCTGGGTCATTTTCACTGCGTTTATGCGCCCCAGCCAAAAGATGTATGTTGTACTCCATGCTTGGAGTTCGGCCTGCGCTGTTCGCAGAAGCGGTAGGTAATTGTGGGTGTAGAGGTCCGTCGTGTCTTGCGTGAGCCATATCCCCAGGTAT